AGAACCTTTCAGAAAGCTCGTTTGGTCTTTGGCTTAAACCTCACCGAACAAAGCTCTTTCTTTAGACCATGTAGTCATCTGATAGCGTATTGTTTTCTAATCTTAGCGATGTGCTTATTTTCTGAAAAAAAGGTATGCCAAAGAAAAAAGTCGACTTTTACATCATTCGGCGATTGTTTACTAGCTGTTCGACAAGGCGACGGCCGTGACTGACGACGTAGCAGGGGCACGGCGAGGCTGGACGATTGACATATTCATATACAATCGGGAAATTTCCTTCCGCTTTGAAAGAAACTTCGGATAAAACGATTCAGTAGATACTAAGAAAATTTCTCTACGAATTAATAAGCTTTTCGGCTTCCAGCGCTCGCGTGGTAAAAATGATGGCGAAGGACGAATGTGAAACATAATTTTTTATTTGGATACTACAGCGTTATATGGGGGTGCTTTGGAAAACCGGCAACGTGGGGCTGTAGCCTCAAGTTTCAGCTTCGAATGGTTAGTGACACTCCTATGAACACTTCCTCTCCAGCGAACGAGACTAATTTTTACTTTGTTCTTTCCTAATCAGAAAGAACCAAGGGCTGATTTATGCCTACCACAAAAAACTCGTTGAAGGTTTGTTGCTGATAGTTACGATAGTTTATATCAAAGCAATTGTGGTAGCTAGCGGCGCCTCAGTGGTGCAATGGAAGTATGCGTTCTCGGTATGGGTGAAACGCGTGTTGAACTCCCTCCTCAGGTCGGATGTACTGTATATCACTTGATATTCATATATATATATATATATATATATATATATATATATATATATATATGTAGGACATTGTAGCACTGCTGAAAAGCAGTAGAATAAAATTTATACGCGTGATTTCCTGTTTTTGTAATATGTGCTCTTACTATAGGTGGTATTTCTGACAATGGTCTACTATCTTCTATCTGCCTCGCGTGATAGGTGGTTACCTATTCAGTGGATCAGTAATTTAGCACAAATGGCATCTCTTACTTCAAACGAAATAAAATCAAGCACGTCGGTCACGGAGTACGACTTAACTAATGCCATTGAGCAAGCAATCTCGTCAGTTTTCTTCAAAATCTGTTCTTTCGTATGCTTCAAGTGAACTTCACTTTAGGAATGTTGAGTCGTATGCAAAGTTTCAACCCCAGCCAAGGGTTGAACTCGCATCTCGCCTATGCCTGGCGCGTGTCACCACTGCACTATCGGGCCACCGCTTTGCTCCCACTGTAAATAAAGAACTCATATAGATTAGTTAGTAGCTGTCCGCTTAACAGAGATCAACGTCGATATGTGCTTGTCAAACCAAACTCGTTGAAACTTGGTTGCTGACAACTATGATAGTTTGTATCGAGGAAAGAGTGGTAGCAAAGCGGTGATCTCGGTGGTGTAGTGGTAGCACGCGCCCCTCCTTTGGGTATTTCACAGGTCCAACTCTCGCCGGGGATCGAAAGTCTTGCATGCCACTCATCTGTTACATATATATATATATATGTATATATACATATATATATATATATATAGTTGTATATATTCACTTTATCCCATTGTCTTCGTGAGTTTTATACATTCTTATGGCTCATTCTTTAGTGGTGTCTTCGTGCTCTCCTCCAAAATGGCTGTTTTCTATGGTCTTTACACATATTTCGTGCACAACCTCTTCGATCTGAATGTGGTTTTTGTTCCCTGTAGTGAGTTGCTCAATCGTAATAATTCAGCCTCATCCAGAACGTGTGTGGCGCAATAGTTGAAGGTGCTCGGCGGCACACAGTGGTCGATAGTTCGTCCCCACGCTCAGGGCTCACTAAGCCAGCCTTCCATCCCTTCGGAGTTGACGAACTGGTGCCAGACTTGACTGGAAGGATAGCAACAGAGTGACCTGATACATCGGTAGGGCACCACGAGTCACTGTAAAAGCAAGCAATGCGTCCATGCACCTCAAAGAATACTTGATGGAATCGACTACATGGCGCATCCGTCAAGGATTGATAAACTCCATGAGCTTTATCCTTTTAGTCTTTATACTTAGCCAATCTCTCAGGTACATACTTTTGTTCTTCAGCTCTTGCTGCCATATTTGCTGCTATCCCTATCATGCCACCTTACATTGTCAGCATACTGGGGATAATTGAATTATGGCTAGTAAGTTCATTTGAATAAAGAAAATTTCCATTTGTTACTAATGCTTTTCAGTTTTCTACTTTTGTATAAACAACTTTGTCGTCATTATAATGCTCTTAGGTGCGAGGTGAAGTCTCAGTGGCAATTGTGTTCACCTTGATATCATTCGCTCCACGTATGTTTGCAGATGCGACTTTCTACAAAGAAGTGAAGTGGGTGTCCTTACTTTTTGAAGGAAGCCTTCAGTTCCCTTATCATTCATTACAGATTTTCTCATCCTTATATCACTGGTTTGGCAATCATCGGAGGCATGTATTGGCTAGGATTCAAAGTACGTCACAGATATGCTTTTGAAAATTCGTCTAATGAGTGTGTTTTAGCTGTAGATTCAGGTTGGATGTCGTTGTATGTCTGAGACTGAATATTCTAAATCTTCAGGCATTTCATAATTCTCTCACTCAAATTTACATGCCCACCCTGTGTTTTGATTTGTGTGTTCATCGCATCTCTTCGACATATTGGATCGTTCTACAAGTTGTAACTCTAGAGCAGTAAACACCAGATTTCTCAAACAGAGTAATCGAAATTGCATGGTTTGGTATCGTTTGATTGTGCATTTTCTTGCGAGTATTTTAGCATACAACTTGCCTATGCTTCCTTTAAGATGAGATGTGTTGGGAACTTATTCGCTTTGTACTCTTGTAGAATGGCGCATAGGAGAAAATGCTAGGAAGAGGCGCGCAATATTAATAGCATTTGGGTCGATGATGCGGTTGCTGAAAGGACGGCTAGGAAGTGGTTCACGAAGTTCGAAGCTGGAGAGAACAGTCTGGGGGATGAGTCGGGCTCGGGACGTCCACAGGAAGCTCCATTGATCTTGCACGATGCTTCAGTTGCATCTTTCCCTATGCTCCATTCGTGCATGAGTAGCAAGCGAATTCGTTCCCAAAACAGCTCCATCTTGAAGCAAATATAGGCAAGTTATATATCAAAATGTTCGCAAGAAAGTGCGCATGGAAGATACCCAAATTATGCATCTTCGCCCACATCTGCCTTGTCAATTTGCTGTTTCTTGCTCTAGTGCCAAAACTTATATAGCGACCATATATAGTGAATTATATGCGCTCAGTGCGAAAACAGCGGCTGGTTTTGAACTCAACTGTCATAATTACTGCTGAATTCTGCTCATTCTAGTAATAGTCATGCAGACTACAAATTTTTGATCTTAGGCGAAAGTTCGTTTGTTTTATATTTTTTCCCATTTTCCATCAAGACTGGCTGCAGATGAATTATTGGAGTCTTGCCATCAGGAAACGGAAAATGTTCTCAAATATCTTAAGCGTGTTTCTCGTCGCCTCTTTTGCGCGGAATATTTTTGAAATTTCAATTTCTCTTCTATGGTGTGAGGAAATTCTGTTCTGAACGCGTGCAAATTGGTCGAAATTATCTTCGGCTGTTGAAGATCATCCTCGGGCGTATATGCGTTAGTTAAACTAATTGCTGTCAAAGGTCGAAGTGTGTCTGTGCTTCATCGTCTTTGCACTAGTACGATCTAATAGTTGTGTTCCATCTTTTTCCAGCAAACTTGCTTTGTGACATGAAGGCATCGCAGCACATAAGTTTGCCTTTTTCCATTTCATATCATCAAAATGTTCTTACGTCACTGGGGAATTGAAAGGAGTTTAGGTCGTTCAACAAATATTCATTTTAGGGTGCGATAATCGGTCCAATCGTTCTTTGTTCCTTCCTTGTGCTTGTCAACGTGTATACGGCAGTTGCGAGACCATATGGAGAGAAAATGAAAACGACCTAAATCGTTAAAGAGTTCTAAGATGAGATTAGAATATGCGTATCTAGGCTCCTACAGTATTCTTGATACGATCCTCTTGTACATTTCTCAGCAGTTTATTTCTCTATGTGCTACGCAAGTTGTAAATATTCATCAAGTCATAATTACTGCTTAGGTTTTTTTGCGTAAGTTGCTTGATTGTTTAAGTTTTATCATATTAGTCCACCCATTTGCATAATATTACCCATGAGTGACTGGTTTTTTTTGGAAAGTTTTTTGCTATCGACCGCTTTCTTACAGACCCGCTCAAAACGATTCTTTTTTTTTTGGAAAATTTTTTTTCTATACAACGTTGTATTTGTGCTTTTTGATCTATTCTCTCCACAAAGTATCTTTTCGTGTTCAAAGAAAAATTCCACCTGCACAGGGGATGACTTAGTGTTTTTTTTTTCAAAAGTTCGAATACGCTGTATTATTTCTGTTATTTTTCTACTGAAACGTCATGACATATAATAAAAATTAGATTGAGAAATTCTGGCTACATTCTGTCTTCACCAAAATTTTTTTGTATTATTCCAACTGATTTGCAGTGCGGTTTTGTGTGAGACAGTTATGGCGATTTCTTATGTTACAAATATAATTTACTACTTAAAGTTTGACGCATCTATCTGACGCTCTTGCCAAGGAAAAAGAACGGCTGAAAGGAAATTGAATTGAGGTCAAAGCACGCGGGTCCAGCTCCCCTTCATGTAAAAAGAGTAAACACATATTGGACTCGAAGTTTCCTAATGTCTTGTGAATTCATGGACGAAGAATTTCCCACAAATTGAATACAGCAAGTTTTTCAGTGACATTCTTCAGATGCGCCATCTAAGTCTAATTACTCTCTCTCAGTTACAATAAAATATTCGAATGAAATGCTAATGAGGAATGGAAGATTACTAAACATGATTCTCAGTGAGTGTGCTACTAAATTATTTGTTGAGCTACCAGAATACTGTTCATTTGACCGCCTCTAGCGGTGGCATGATGTTATAGTATACCCAATGATGTAGAGTGATGTGCAGAAACCTCTGCGTCAGCTGGGATTCGAACCCATATTTCACCTTATTCGGGGTGCTGGTGCTGAGCCGTTACACTACCGACGCCCATTTTGACACCGTTGTTTCTCTACGTGGGTTTAATGTCGATAGCGACTACCCACGTTAGACCGTTGACGGTCGGCTGCTGGCAGATAGACGCGCTGTGTCGTAGAAAAATGGTGGTGTCAAAACGGGCATCGGTAGGGCAACGGTTCAGTATGCGCCACCGGATAGAGTGAGATGTGGGTTCGAATTCCACCTGATGCAAGGGTTTTTGCACACCACTCTACATCATCGGGTGTATTTGTTGAGCTTTATATATCGGGATGGTGGAAATGAATTTATTATGATTTTCTTCCGAGCAGAAACATTCTGAAGACATCAGTATATTTTCTCTAACTTCAGAAGTCATTTATGCCCCATAAAGAATGCTTCTGAGTTTTAGGCGAGCTTATAACCATTTGCTATAAAGAGGTTTGCAAACTCAGTTGCATCTCAAAATTAAGAATGAAGATGTTTCTTTCTCGCCGGAGTTCCATGGGAAACAGATCCAAATATCATTCCAGATGCATCAAAACTATTTTTACACTTTGATTTATTTACCGAACAGTTTCTTTACAGGAAGGAGAAACGTGCAAAAATAGAATAAAAAATAAATACAATTCTATCTCAAAAATCATCAAATGCACTGAATAGCATTACTTTCGACTGTTTATACACACTTCGCTCAAGACAATAACAATCTGATAATCTGATAACATTTTTTTGAGTCTTTTTATGAGATCTGCCATAGCACTTATTAAGTGCGGACACAGGTTTCGCTATTACAAGCTCATTAGTAGCACGGTATTTTTCGGTTCAGCTAATCTCTTCCTGCAGGATATACTCCCTACCTATGAAGGAATCCACGTCAAAAAATCTAATCACCGCATGTCGAGTGATTAATCCACCCACATTCCAGTGACAGACGGTCGAGCTCTCATGGTTGGTAAAATGGATCATACCTTCACTTTCGCGTATTTATAAAGACCTCACTGAAAACGATTATCTAAATTATTTGGCGTCTACTCCTCTATAGGTATGGGATATGTTGCTCTGCAAGGGATCGGTTAAACCGAAAGGCACCGTGCTGCTGATGAGCCTGTAATGGCGAA